AAAGGAGAAGAGGAGGAGAGGGGAGGAGAGAAGGCAGGAAGAGGCTCACCCAGATCCTATGAGGAGGTGGGCTGGGGAGAAGCTGATTACTATTACTGTTGTTATTAACGTTGGGAATTGGACTCTGAGACGTACTATTTTAGTACTGTTTTATTTTTCTGGGGCAAAGGAAAATGTCAAGCCAGAAAACGTCCCAGTTTCCTTCCCCTTCCTATTCTGGTTTGGGCAGATATTTCAAGATCGCTCTTCCAAGAGTGGGACTTCTTACGAGAGAATTCTTAATAGGAGATTGTGGGCATGGGGGCAAGGTGTTCTTTCTCAAGAGTTCCCCTTCATAAGCGGCACTGAGGAGTGCCGGCGTCCGAACCCGAGGGAGCCTCCAGAAGGTCCTTTGTTCATGGATATTCCATTTCTCTCCCTGTCCCCATGCCCACCCCCTCCTCTCTCATTATCAAACATTTGAAGACTGAATAATTCCGTTTGTTGATGTCTTTGGCCAGAGCCTCTGAAAACGCAGAAGGCCTGCCGAAATCAAAACCCCCGGTTTTCAAGGTGGATTTATCACCCTTTAAAGAAAGATTCATTGGGTAATCGCTTTCAGAAAGTGCTCATTGCACAGGGATCTAAAATAAAGAGTGCCCTCCCCCTTGGGTTGGGGGAGCAGACCACTGGCCACTGGGGCCAGGAACAAGGAAGGCTCAGTTGTGGCCCTCTGTCTCCCACCCGCTGGGCCCATCAATTCAGTCTGGGGTGGGAGCAGCCAGAGAAAGGCCAGCTTCCCCAGTTGATATCAACCTGGCTGCTGAGTATAGGTCTCTCTTGGGAGAGACCGTTGGGAGGGTTCATTTGGGGAACTTGGAAGGAGGAATTCTCAGGAGTATTGTCATTGCCCTTAAAAGGAGGTGTGGTGGGGCAGGAGGTGGGGGACAGACAAGGAACTCAGACTGGACAGGGAGGGGAGGAGTTAGGGATCGGTTAGCCAAGCCAGAGAACAAGAGTACAGGAGAATTTTCTAGAGGGAGGGAGTGCTAGAATCAGGCTGGGCTGGACCTGGAGATGCGCCTTTAGAGATAGCCCCAAGTAGATGCAAAGCAGAGGAGGGGCCCTTCTGGAAGGTCTTTGCCCAAACCCATCTGGACCAAAGAAAGGGCTTTTCCAGGAAACAGGTCTGAGGTATAGCCTGGTGGGGGATGGAGAGCCCCAGGACACCATGGAGGGGGTAGGCAGTGGCCAGGATGAGCAGACTGGGGAGGAGTCAGAAAGGCAAGGAGTAAAAGGGGGTAGAGACAAAAAAGAGATGGAGGGGCCCATGAGACAGAAAAGTAAGTGTGTGTGTGTGTGTGTGTGTGTGTGCACGTGTGTGAGCATGAAACAGAGACAGAGAGAGACAGGCAGATCAAGACAGAGAGAGAAGAGGGAGGGAGGAAGAAGCAGAGAGAGAGAGACAGAGATTAGGGTGAGGGGCTGAAGGGAAACTTTCCAGGCCAAGTTCAGCCCAACACAGACAATGCAGACCTGAGCCCCTCGGAGCTTACAGCAGTGGCTGGAGGTCTTAGGAGTTGATGAATGTCTGTGTGGGGAGTGAATTTGGGCAAGAGGGTTATCCGTGGGGAGCTGAGAGGAGAGGAAAAGATTCCCCCCCCACCTCCAGCTGCAGCCGCCCTAGTTCCGAGGTGAACCCCCCTTTCCCCCGCTGGATGTGAAATTGCCATTTCACCCCGCCACACTTCTTAATTGTTGCAAAAATCATTTGTGAAATTGGTCTCCAACAGGCGAGAACCGCCACGCTCATTCCGACAGACACCCCCCCTCCCTCCCCCTCCGCCTGCCCCGAGGGAGCCCACGGAATCCCCAAGCCGGGAAAAGTCAGGGTTGGTGCCTCCAGCGGAGGGTTTAGGGGAGCCTGCTCAGGGCCTCCCTGGCAACCTGACCCTCCGCAGAATGCGGCAGGAACCAGGCGACGGGTTCGGTGTCTCCCCAACCCACGCCAGATGCCTGGGGCTCAGTGTGCCCAGTCACAGTCGACTGGTGGGCCCTGAGCCGAGGGGTAGGGCAGGCTGTGTGCTCTCCCCGCTCAGCTCAGAAGCCACGCGGACACCGGCCACAAAGTCAGTGAGGAGGGACTGAAGGTTCCAGGGTCCGCACCCCAGAAGTCTTTCCTGCATCTGGGAACTGACCAAAAAGTACATTTACACCTTCCAGGCTGCACTGAGAGCTAGCCAAGGCAGCATGGAAGCGACCCCAAAACAGAAACACAGACTCAGACCCTCCCTTAGAAACACAGAGCTAATCAGACTGGCCTACAGGAGACTTACACCCAAACCCACCTTCACGCGGACACAGCCAAAGACACTCCTGGTCCACCCACACATCCAAGAGAATCAGTGCCTTAAATCCCTCCAAGCCAGGACAGAAATTACTGATGAATGAATGAGTGAGTGTACAACATTTTGTAATATATACGTGTATATGTGTGTGTGTGTGTGTATTGTATGCCTATCTGTATATGTATCTCAGAATATACATACATATATTAAATACATAGCCACCTCTGGAAGTCAAGGCAAACCAGACCCTCCAGCAAGACAAGAAGTAAAATGTCCCAAATCGAAGTCATTTTCCCCCAGACATACACATTGTGGCTTCAAAATTCATCTCCCTGTCCCTCTCTAGGTGGGGGCTGTGGGTACAGTGGGGTCCACCTCCAATGCAGAAAGGGGCCCAGAAAACCTTGTAAGTTCCCTAAAACTCAGGCAGCCTGGCACCCTGGCCTGGGCAAGGCACCCTGGTGTCCCCCTTTCCAATTCCAAAGCGACTTGCCCCTCCCTCCCCCCCCCAATTCAGCCACCGGAGGGTGTGGGTTTAACTGCTTTTCTGTAGGCCCCCATTCCCAGAAAGCCTCCCTGCCTAGAGCCTGATGAGCCCCTTGTGCTGGGAGAGAGGGGAGAGGAGGGAGTCTGTCACATGCTGAGAGGGGCAAAGGTCACAGGTGAGGAAAAGGGGAGGGGAGGGGGGCGCACTAGGGCCAGCCTGAGGAGAGCCCCCCAGGCCAAGACAGAGCTGACCCCAGGACCGGGAGAGGGCGGGCAGGGGCGGGTTGCGGGGTGGGGGCCGAGTTGGAGGGCTGGGTTTATTTTATTGTATCTTGCCTCCAGTGCTGGGCCGGAGACACTCTTTCCCGGGGGAGACAAAAGGCCTGCTGTCCTGGCGTCCTGCCCCGCTGGGAGGGCGTTTCGCCCCCGGGACTCGTGTCCCCGGGCAGGGGCGTCTGGTCACTGGGGCAGGGGAGAGCACAGAATTGCAGGACCTCTGATGACCACCCCCACTCCTGATCCTTTAATTGGGACATGTCTCCCTCTAAATTCTGAGCGGAGCTCAGCATTGACGGGCCCAGCGCTCAAGGTGGAATCAAGTCCTAACCCACCTCCCTCCCAGATCCTGGGGACCCACTCGCTGTCAGGCTCAGGGCGATGGACTGCCTGCTGGAAAGGGGTGCCGGGTTGTGGCCAGGGGGCCTGAAGAGGAAGAGAAGTTTAAGCCCCACTGGAGAAGGGTGAGGGGAAAGGGAAGAGGAGAGGGGAAGAGATCGTCCCTAACATTTGGCACAGCCAGTTTTCTAAGCACTCTGCTCTTCCCAGAGCTGCAGGAAGCAGGGCAAGAACTGGACACCGGGGCTGAGACATTATTTCACAGAGAAAGTCATAAACCCTTCCCTTGAAGTCACCCCAGGCCGGTCCCCCGTGTGCCTAGTGGCGGAAATTTCAGAGTGTGTGAGTGAGATGAAGGAGAGAGGCAATCAGCGGACTCTGACCCTGGGAGGCCAGAGAAAAGGCGAGAATCCAGAGGAGCCACCAACCCGAGGCAGACATTCCCAAGCAGCCCGGACGCTGAGAGGGCCGACGGCGGGCGACCAGAGGGCCGGGCACTTTGCGGATTTGGCCCATTCGTCAAAAGAAGACACTTGCACAAAGTTGGCCCCCTCCCCTTCTGCGCCCTCCCCCAGCCCCGGGGCCTCAGCTCCCTATGTGTTAACGGGCGGTTCAGATTCTCCCCCCAAAAAACGAGGTCGAGCCGGGGATTAGAAAAGAGAGGGAAAAAAAATATTCGTTGGCGATTTCTTTTCGTTATTGGTCCTCAGCTCCCTTCCGCCCTGGCCCCCTTCCCTCCTCATGAATAAAAGAAAAGTCCGAACCTATCAGATCTCGTCCGCTGCCTCCCCCCGCCCCCCCCCCACTTGGCGACCCTCTTCGCACTCCAGTGGAGCACTTTTGCGCAACTTACCCAGCGGATCGCTCGCCCCCTCGCTTCCCCTCTTCTCTTCCCAACCCCGTCACCCCCTGTCGCCTCCCCTCAAGCCCCGAAACTCGAGAGCCACCGCCTTCCCTCCCCAAGCCTTGTGGGGGGCGGGGTGTGAGCGCTGGTGTGAGAGGGAGTCGTGAGTGTGGTCTGGAGAAAGGCGTGGAGAGGAGCGCGGGGAGGGAGCGCGCGGGCGCGAGGATAAATATATAAATAAATACGGAGGAGAATCCACTAGGCAGCCTCTGGGCTCAGAAACTTTGGCCCCCGGAGCGCGAGAGCGCGCCGCTGCCAGTCCGAGGCCGGGGCCCTGCCTCCGGCCGCGTCCCCCCAGTCCCGCTCGGCCGCCCGGCCTCCCCTCCGGGTTCCGCCCGGCGCGTCCGCCCGCACAACTTCTGGCCGAGCGGAGCGGGCAGAGGCGGACTTGGGGTTGCTGTGTTTGTTTGTTTGAACTTCCTTGTCACCACCTTCCCTCCCCCCAACCTCCGCCCCCGCCGCGCCCCCCTCCCCAGCTTCTGGACGCGTTCGACTGCAGCCCGGGGTGGGGGGTGGGGGTAGGGAGCGTGTGTGTAGGGGAGGAGGGGGAAGAGGTTAAAACAAGAGAAGTGGAAGAAGAAGGAAAGAAAGAGATCGCAGCAGGGGTAAAGGCAGCGGACGGGAAGCGATTTTGGCCGAGTCTGGACTCGTCCGCGGCGCGCGCAGGAATGGCGGCCCTTCCCGGCACCGTCCCGAGGATGATGCGGCCGGCTCCCGGGCAGAACTATCCCCGCACCGGATTCCCTCTGGAAGGTAAGAGCGCCTGGGCTCGCCGCGCCTCCGCTCCTCCGCCGGGAACCCGAGGTCCTTGGAGAGGCAGCGATGTCCCGGGGTGGCGGCGGCGCCCGCGGCAGCGGGAAGGGCGGGGGGGTCCCCTTCTCTTCTGGGGACCGAGTCCGGGCGCTGGACCCCCGGAAGTTTCGGGGGCCGACACTTGTCCGTCGTTGCGCGGCTTTCGGTGACCGGCGGCCTTCCCCCGCAGGGCGGACCTCCCGGCAGATCTCGGCCCCGAGTAAATTTCAAGTCCCAGCGAATTTCAGTTCGTGGCCACTATTTTCAGACACTTTCCCCGCGGTTACTTTCTCGGCTCTCCGCGCACGCCGGCTACAGCGCTTTCTACTCTCGGTTTTGAACTGGTCCTTTTTTCAGTCCTGGCACGGTCCTCCAATCCCTTTTATTTCGAAATGCCAGCCATGTGCGGACAGCGTCTATGTCTAAAACCAGAAAGGCTATCCGCTTCTTCCAAAGCACCAGACAGAAATTCCTGCCTTTTGGTTAGAAAACAAACTAATCTGAAATAATAAATAGTAACGACTTCCCCCCCCCCCCCAAAAAAAAAAAAAAAACTTTTCGCCTGGGCTTCGGAACTTGCAACTCTCCTGGGAGAGATCCTCAGGACGGTGAGCGGGCACCGCAGTGTCCGGACAAGGGGAAGAGGGGAATTCTGTAATGTGTCCTCCGTCGGCACCCAGCACCCGGGTGAGCAAAGAGGACCGGCAGGGCTCGGTTCCTGGCTGGAGGAAAGGGTGGGATCGCGCTGCCAAGACCCTACCCTGTGTTTGGGTTTTGTTTTCTTTTTAAACTAACGGAAGGCCATCAACCTGTCATCAAACCCAGGGATCACTGGGTTTCTGGGGGTGCGTCGCCCAGGGTGTCCTACAGAAGTGGTGAGAGATAGGTGCCACTTTCATTTTTTAATTACTCTTCTTGTAATTGTATGAGCCCCTTGCGCGTGAGGAAGGGTAAAGGAGGCGGGGAGGGGATGGACGGGCAGGCAGCCTGCGCTCTGGGGAGGGAGGGGTCCCTCTGGCAGCGAGATGGCGCGGGTCCCTGAATTAGACTGAGGCGAAGAGAGTGGCTCCGTGATCAAGTGCGCGCTTGCAGCCACGCAGGCGGGAGAGCGCACATGCCCGGGGATTTGCCGTAGCACTCTCCTGTAGCGAATGCAAGTAAAACAGGCGGCCGAGGACGCACAGCGGATTAGAACAATATTTGCCCAACATGACGGAGAATACTGAGGAGAGCCGAGCGCCGGTCGCTAAAGAGGCTCTTGAATATAAAGTTGGGCGCTGGAGGGCTCTTCAGCGCTAATGGCATATCCCGCCGCGGAGACCGAGTGACTCTGACTTGGCGACGCACGATTTCTGATTAAATCCGAGGGTGGCTTCAGACACCTACTTTTACAAAGAGAGGTGGGGGGACCAGGAGCGCGAGGGTGGAGGCGGTAGGAACGGCTGGGCAGCCGAGCCCCTTCTCGCCTCCTCCCTTCCAATTACACTGGCAGCTCCCTCCACTCCGGCGTCTGTGAAATCGTTCTAATCTGCCAGATCTCCGCAGCCGCCTGGTCCCCAAATTGGGGGAATGGAGGCCGGATTAGTGCACCGGGTGCCCCCCAACCTTCTGTGAGGAAATTGTGTAGACTTTGCATTAAGGCTTCTGAGGAGCTCTCCCCTCCGCAGGCACACTACAGCAGGGGTGCCTGTCTCCCTGGTTCCCAAAGTCACCCACACGGGGAGACGCTGGCCCATCCATGTACCACCCTCACAGAGCCTACAGGGACCGAGTCTGGATTTCTGAACCCAAATAAGTATTTGATATGGGAGCTTGCTGACAGCGGAGCGTTGCCCCCAAATTGCCCCAAAACGAAATTAGAACTTTGAGAGAGGTTGGAACCATGGGGAGTCCCTCGAGGGACAGCCAGGTGACCCCAGAGGCAGTGACCAACAGCATCGTGTCACCAGTTCCTCGGCTGTTCAATTATAAGTAGGAAGACCTGCTGTCCAGGCTAGGGCTGTACATTCTGGTAATTAACCAGCTTCTTCTGGCTCCCCCCAAAATGGATCAATCTTGACCACTTAAGGCATGGAAATGACCAGTGAGAGGGGGCCACCTCTCACTAGCCATTGACCTCCCTAAGAGGCAGGCAGACCTGTGTCCCAAACTGCATCCTGAGGGATGGAGCCACTGGACCCCCAGACTCCCAAGACTCCACCAGCCTCTTGGCTCTGCTTTCTCCTTCCCAGTCACGGAAGCTTCAGATCCCTCATTCCCCATACTGTGACAAGAGTGGGGGCATACAGCATCTGGGGGACTGAAGCCGCCAGCTATGACTCCTCTCTCCATCCTTCCAGGACCCTCTCTCAGCTTTCTGACAGTTTTTTCCTGACCCCTGAACAGCCACACCTCCAAATGGGGGGAACCTGCAGACCCTCTGTCAGGGGTCTTCAGGCTCACAAAACTGGAGTCAAGGGGCGTTCTCACTGTCTCATCCCCATTCACACCCTGTGCCTCTCTCCTTCCTCATTTCCCCTCACTCCTCCAGTGTCCACGCCACTTGGCCAAGGCCGGGTCAATCAGCTTGGTGGGGTCTTCATCAACGGGCGACCCCTGCCTAACCACATCCGCCACAAGATCGTGGAGATGGCCCACCACGGCATCCGGCCCTGTGTCATCTCCCGCCAGCTGCGTGTCTCCCATGGCTGCGTCTCCAAGATTCTCTGCCGCTACCAGGAGACTGGGTCCATCCGGCCTGGGGCCATCGGCGGCAGCAAGCCCAGAGTGAGTGTCTCTGCTGCAGAACTGGCAGTCGGCCTTCCCATGGTTGGGGGATCCTGGCTGTGGCCCCTCTCACTACCTTCTGTCGTCCAGTGCCACTGGGGTGTCCATATGCCTCTTATGAAAAGTACAGGAGGAGAGTATCCTCACTCCCAGATATCCCCCTCATTATTTGGATTTCTAGGGGATAAGATAACTGAGGTTCCATGTTGTCCAGGACTTTGAGGCCAATGAGTCATCCCCTGGGCTGCTCCTACATCAGCCCAGACCACCAGCATCATCCCAGACCTGGGGAACTCTCCCCTCAGTCTTGCCTGAAATAGTGAGCGAGGTGGTGGGGGGATCCCAGGAGTCCTTATTAGGTCCTATCTTATTACCTGTCACTACCCTATGCACTGGGCTGCCTTCCTTGAAGGCAAGCACAGGTTTTGTGAAAGGGTAAAGCCAATCTCAGAAGGGGGGGAATGGGAGGGACATGGGATCCAGAGCCACCAGCCTGGCCTGGGGCTCTTGGGAGTTTGATATTAAAAGTGCCTCCCTCTCCCCACCTCGTCTCTCCACTCCTGCTCTCCCACCTCTACCTCTGAAGCAGGTGGCGACTCCGGATGTGGAGAAAAAGATCGAGGAATACAAGAGGGAAAACCCAGGCATGTTCAGCTGGGAGATCCGAGACAGGCTGCTGAAGGATGGACACTGTGACCGCAGCACGGTGCCCTCAGGTGAGAAGGCAGCTGAGCCGAGCACAGCACGGTCTGGCTCAGCTCGGCTGTGCAGGGCTGGAGGTCAGATAGGACAGAAGGTGATGAAGAAAGAGAGCAGGAGGGCAGAGTTAGAGCAAAGGAGGGAATCAAAACCGAAAGGAAGATGGAGGGAGGGAAGAAGGAAAGAAAGAAAAAATTAGGAAAGACAGAGAAAGGAGAAGGGAGAAGGAGAGAGGAAGGAAAGAAGGGAAGGGTCTGTCCTGGGAGGGTTGATCTCCTTGGGCTCCCTGGACCCCTTTCCCCAAGTCACTCTCTCCATTCTGTTAATGCCACCAGCTGGCAGTGGGTCCCAAATAGGGAGGCCCTCCACCGCGCTGCCCGTGAGGCAGCAAGAGGCCTGGGGTGGACATGCATGTGTGCACGTGTGCCAGGGGGGAGGAGGGCATCCAGGCATGCGAGGTGGGGACACACACCTGGTGTAGGGGTGGCAGTCACAGGGGCTGGAGGGCTTCTGGCAAGGTCCTGGAGAAGTGGGCATGGGTGTGAGTGCATCTCGGGGTTGTGACCGTGTTAGGCACAAGTGTGTGCAAGGAGGAGTATAGGAATGCCACTGTGAGAGTGTCCCAGGTGAGTCCCCTTCCCTAGCCAGCGACCGCACTTGGATGTAAATGCTTAAATGGGGGGGGGGTCAGTAGGTGTGAGTCCCCTTGCCATGCGTGGCGGGGAGGGACTGTGTGGCTCTCTCCCGGGGACCCAGGTCGCCTGGGTCCGCTGCCCCAACAACTTATACTTGCTCTTTTGCCTTTGAATTTCTGAGGTTTAGTGAGTTCGATTAGCCGCGTGCTCAGAATCAAGTTCGGGAAGAAAGAGGAGGAGGATGAAGCGGACAAGAAGGAGGACGACGGCGAGAAGAAAGCCAAGCACAGCATCGATGGCATCCTGGGCGACAAAGGTAGGGAATCTCCGGGGGGTCTCCACCGCGGAACCCCGCGTCCCCGCGCGAGATCGTGCGGACCAGTGAGTGGTTCGCTTCCGCCGCTCAGGGCTAGCGACCGCACTTTAGCGGGAGGACTCGCAGCCCCCGGGGCAGCCGGGAGCCCCTCCGGGTTTGCGGAGAGCGCCCCCTCGGTGCGCCCCGGACCAGGGCAGAAGGCGGAGCCGGGGCGCAGACGGGCCTCGTCGTCCCCGCGGAGCCGGCTGCAGGTTGGTGCACTGCGCGCCTCCGAGTGCGCAAGCCCCGCGCGCAGGGCCAGGCCGAGCGCTCCGGGGCGTGTGCCCTGCGGGGCCGGCGTTTTGGAGGCGAGTCCCGGTGTGGATCTATTATTTATAGGATGCTTGGACAAGGGGGCGGGGGGCGAGGAAGGAGGAGCCGGCCTACGACTCCCTAAATGAATTTGTTAACCAGACCCGCACACGCTCTCTAAACGGTCCCTTGAAACCCTGCCTGACAGTTGACTGACCGCTGCAATCAATAAAAATTAGCGAGGGCCGCCGCCTAAGCCTCAGCCCCGCGTTGCCAGGGGCCCGAACCGAGACAGTGCCGGCTGGGTGCAGACGGGCGCACCAGTCAGCGCTTGCCTCTGGCGGGGCCAGGCGTGGAGGCCAAGTTCCCCCCAAGGCCCAGGATCGGAGGATCTCTCAGGCGGGGAGAAAGCTTCCGGCGGCACCCACCCTCTCCCCTCGTGCAGCTCCGCCGCCCCGCCGGCTGGGGTCTGGGCCTTGCGCCCTGCTTTTTCTCCTGGTCGGCTAGGGAAGGCGGTTTATCTTTCAAGCGCCTGCACGCCCGGGAAAGGGGCGTGTGCTTTTGTTTCTGGAGCGGGGGGGGGGGGGGGGGGGGGGAAGTCTTCCACATTACCGGCCCCCCTGAAGTTCTATTTGAGACTTGGTCACTGTGCCTTAAGTGGGGGAAGGGGGTGAGAAACAGAAGTAGAAGGCCCAGAGTCACAAAGACTGGCTGGGGAAAGGAGGGAGCCCACAAACGGGCATGCCGGGAGGCAGCAGGCAGACAGGAAAGACAGTGGTCCCGCAAGCCTGCAAAGCGGTAGCTTTGGAAAAAGTGGGGGAGTCCCCCAAACTTGGAAACTTGCAAAGAGCACATTTGGCTTGAATTCCTTTCCAGAGGTGTCTCGAGGTACCCCTCTTCTCGCTTCCGGTGAACTCCTAGCCTGTGTCTCTCTCTCTCTGCAGTTGTCAGTAGTCTCTCCCAACCTTGAAGATGAACTTCACAGACAAAGCCCGCTTCCAAAGACAACACCCAGGGAGGCCCAGCCCCCACAGGCCTGGTGGAGGGGGAAGGTGGGAGGAGGGGCAGGAGCAGCCCCTTTGAGAGAGCAGCGGAGAGCTGGGGAAGGGGCGGGCTATTGACATTCAGGGCCCCAAGTGGAGCCCAGTCCCGCCAGGGACAAAAGGGCGAGGGAAGAAAGGGAGCGAGCTGTGCCTGGCACCCCGCTGTGCCCGGCCCGCCTCGGAGCCCCGGGTCTTCAGTGGGAAGCCGCCTGGTGCAGCTCAGGAGCCCCTGGCTTGGCTGAGGCCGCCCAGAGCCCTGGGACCCCTGCCGGGGGGGACCCATTCCTGACTTCAGTTTGTATCAGAAAGGGCTTCTTCTTTTTTGTGGGGTGGGACACGTTGAACTTGAAATGATCTTTCCTGGTGAAATACCACACAGCAGACACCGTTTCTGAGAAGTACCGGGCAGAAGCAGAAGGAGGTTTGGTTTTATTTGGAGAGATTTTAGGGTGTGTGTGTGTGTGTGGCGCGGGGGGGGGGGGTTGCCCAGCTCAGTCTGTGAGGAAGCAAAATAGGTAAGTCTCTTCTGAGAAAGAAGGAAAGGAGAGGCAGGGGATAGAAAGCGTGAGCTTTGGGGATCCCTTTAGCTCCGGGGAGTTCAGGCACTTCTGGCGTTGGCCAGGGCTTATGAAACCGGCTCACAGGCAGCTTCGATGGAGAGAGGATTTCCCTGCAGCAGAACCAGGAAGCTTCAAATCTCCAAGGGTTTAGAAGGAGCCTGCTGGTTCCAGATGGGAAGGCAGAGAGCACAGGAGCTGCAGAAGTGAAACGGAATCCTTGGGTCCGGTATCCAGAGAGCCTGGCAGGTTTTGAGTGACAGTGGGCACATGGAGCACGGGGACCGTGAGCTGGATGGCTGTGTAAAAATGCATGTGACTCTCCGTGTGGCTGTTTGCCCGTGGGCCTTTGGATCATTGTGCCGTGGGTCGTATTCTGTGCAGGTGGGGGTGGGGTTCTGCGTGGCTGTGCAGGGTGATTGGACGCCGGTGTGAATGAGCAGAATGGCAGTGGGGATGAGGGACGGTTGTCTGTCCCCCCGGAACAAAACATATCACCCCCCTGAGTACCTGGGGCAGTAGGCAAGCACCCCAGTGAGCCACCCAGCTGGAACCTCTCCTCTCTCTCCCAGCTCCCCACCATCAGTTTCATGGCCAAGTTAAAGGGGAGAAGACCTCCTAACCTCCACCCAAGTCGGCCAGGTGGGGAGAGGCAGAGAAGCCTCAAAGGGTAGAGCAGGGGGAGGGGTGCACACCCACAAACTTTGTTTTGGTTTCTTGCTCGTGACAAATGCTTTCTCCGGAGGGGTTGCCCCTCTCATGGCGGGGAGCCTTCCAAGAAGGGGTTTAAGAGCTCTCCTCTTTAAGCGCTAAAGAGAGATCCCTCCCTGAGTCCGTTTTTCCCTATCGTCCGCTTGGCATTTAATAATGTTAAGACTTATTAGAGCTGGTAATGAAAACTGGGGCTGCTGAATAGGAAACTGTGTTGCAGAAGGGTGTTATAGCTCCCAGGCATGGTAAGAAACTATTTATCCGCAATCAGTCCTCACTCTCGGAGTTTGAAGCACAAACGTTAAGTTGAAGGGTTTTAAAGCAGATTAAATTGAGCCTTTATTTCTGTGCACTTTCATCTCTGAACAGCTCACTCCTGCTCCCCTTGGGCTGATATTCATGAGGCTGTTCATATATATTTTTTTTTTTTTTTGCTCTTATCCTTGTTAAGACTGAGTTATTAGGATTGTTGGTTGTGAGAATTTCAGACTGCAGCGGATAGGGGCTCCAGCCGTGCTCTGCTCACCTGGAGAGGGAAATGGACAGTTCCTTGCCCTCATCCACTTGGACTCTCTTCTCCTCACCCCTTCTCCCAGGATCAGGGGAGAGACACAGGCCAGATACCCAACCGGGAAAGGATTTGAGGACGAATGGGAAAGGAAAAGCTTTTCCTAGTTTGAGCCCAGGGAGAGTCTGGTGGGAAATTTGAAAGGGGGTTGCAAAAAGTCAAACCATTTCTCTGTGGGAAGAAATAGCAAAAAAGAATAAAATAAAAAATAAAAGGCAGTAACAACAGCAATAAACAATAAGAACACCAAAGCCTCATGCATCTGACAATGTACAAACTTGGGCTGAAACTGACCAGATCAGACATGGGGCTCCACCTGGGTCTCTAGGGTACAATGCCCAGAGAGGTCACAATTAATAGGAAATAATGGAGGGGGTCGCAATATTTAAAAGAAGAAGATCGAGCGTGCATTTCCTCTATGGGGAGAAGTGCCATGGTCAAAGTCCACCCAAGATTCGCTGACTTCCCGGGTATGAAAGACCATTCCAGGTGGGGGCCGAAGGTGGTGTGTGTGAGGCAGATCCGTGTTTCTGTGCATTTTTCCTTAACTTATTTTTAAAGCAGCAAACGTACAGGTGTGGAGTGGGAGATGACGGAGAAGGCTCGGAAAGGAGGGGAGAGCCCCAAGTGTCGGTTTTAGACACTTGTAAAAGGAGGTGGGAAACAATTTAATTTGGCAGTGCCGCTAGCTGCTAATGCGGTTTTCGGTCGTTTGCTACCCTGGAGGAAGCTGTTTTGATTGTGTGTACAAGGACCTGCCAAATTTAATTAGGCTCCGGGGGAGCGCATGAATAGGGGAAGGGGGGCAAGGCTCCCCTCCGCACACACCGTTTTTTTTTTTTTCCCCCAGCTTCACACCTGGAAGGGGCATTGTTTACCGGATAGGCAAGAGCGCCCGGCCGAGGGAAGGGGAGGAGGCGCAGAAAGAGGGGCCTGGGAAGAGGGAGCAAGGGAGGGGACGAAGATAGTCCATTTATCAAGAAACAATCTGCATTGATTTAAACCAACAAGTTCCCTCCTCTGTAAATGTGTGTTTAGAGAAAGGTAATTGACACTCCACCATATCAAAGGATTACCCCGGGTTGGCAATCTAATCAAACAGAGTCCAGACGGGATTTGAGGCTGTTCAGAGTGGGATCAGCTTCGCATAATGGGGGCTCGGAGGAAGATGGGAGGGTGTCAGGCAATTCCCCGGCTTTAGGCTGCGCTCCGTGGTGGATATTCAGTGAGACCAGAGGGAGAGAGGGGAGGAGGCGGTGGGGGATGGGGTAAGCAGAGAGGGGGCGAGCCCACACTGGGCTGACAAGACTCCCCCTTTCTTCCCTCCATCCCCCCGACCGAAGAAGAGAGAGGGGAAGGAGGGAGCTGAGACTAACTGAGAACAACAATGAGATAAGTATTACAAAGGCAAACACTGGCGCTCGCTCGCTCGCTCGCAGCCCCGGAACCCGCGGTACATAAACAAAGTCGGCAAACTGTTTGCCAGATAAACTCGTGCCTAAATCGAGTGTGACGGGCAAGGAGAGTAGAGACAGAAGGAGATAAGGTTGGAGGGGGAATGAACGAACATAATCTAATAGAAGACATTTAGCAAACAAAGTTGAAACAAGGGAGAACAGGCGATCGGAAGGTAATTATCCGCCCCAGAGATGGAGGGAAGACTTTGGAGGGCTGGGGGTGCGGTGGGGGGGAGGCAGGAGCCGCGGAAGAGCTGCGTGTTTGAGGGGGGTGTCTTTGGGACTCCACGGGGAACCGGGAGAGGGTCCCCAGGGCCTGCAGAGGAAGGGCTGGGCTCCCAGGTTGAGGATCCCGCGCTGCTCCAGTCTCCTG